GGAGTTGTAGTTTCCATGCGACTCCGGGCCACGTGGAGACCGCAGTCACAGTGGCGCATGCGTCCTCCAGCTCTCTCGCGGCGCTCGTCGCGCCGGGGACTGTGGTAGAACATTGTCATCCTGACCTGGGACCACGGAACGTCTGGCAGGTAGGTCGTGAGGGGCTGGCGTCCGCCAGGGTTCACAAGTATGGGGGAGTGTGTGTGGCGGTCCCCACCGGCGCCCCAGTATTGGCCGGGCTCCCCTCCGATTCTCTCCCTCACACCCAGCTGACCTACTCTTCTCTTGCTGCCTGCGCAGGGGCCCCTCTTCCTGCCTGGCACCTCTTTCTGTTACCCAAGAACTGGGTTCACGTCTTGGTGGATGTCGAGACGAACAAAACTAAACAAAACCAAAAAACCAACCAAGACAAAGATCAGGAGAAGGAAGGATTTATTACTTGCTGCGAGTAAGGAGAACACCGGGGATCTTTCCCAAAGCAGTATTCCCCAACAGAAAAATTGGGGAAGTTTTAAGCTAAGGATGCATGCATATTCATGAAGGGGCTCCAGCAGAGGGGAATTCAGCATTGAATTGTGGCAAAGGTCAACGGAGTCCAATTTTTAGTTGAAACCTCCAGGGTCATAATAAAGGTCAACATCATTGTGGCTTCTGTTGATCTGGTGATTGAGTGCTCGAGGGGGTTCAGCTTTTGCAAAACAGCTCAAGAAAGTGCTTCAGGCTAATCTTGTCATGGAACTAGAAATGGGAGTTTACAACTGATTTTTACTATTGGTACTTCTCTTGCCTGATAACTGTCGTTTGTTCTTTAGTTCCCTTAAGATCACTATTACTGAGACCTGTTTAAAGGCAAGCATTGTGGCCAGGCTTAGATCACAAGATGGCTTGGGCCGAAAATGACTTCTCTTATGTCAAGAAATTCATGCCTGCATCTCTTTCTCCGGGGACCCCCTACTTTATCTACTTACACTTCAGACCCTGTGATCGTCATTTCTCTGCATCGCACCTCCGGGCAGAGGCCGTCCTGGGAGCTGGCTTGCACATCCTAAAGGAATAAGATGGGTCATTGAGGGGACCACGCTGAGACCTGGGCATTGTTCACCTACCCCCTCCCATGCTCCCTTCTCTGGGAGAGCTCCCCAAGATTTTCAAGGTGTTTCTGCATTCCCTTTCTATCTCAGCAGAAGCCTAGTGACTGGGATCTGATTTCAGGTAGGAGATTATAGGTCTTGGTCCAGCAAATGGCCCCAGAGCTGTTCTCTTGGCAGATATTCGGTAATGCTGTATCAGAAGCGGTGCCACTTGGCTAAATATTCTTTACTGTTAATATACGCATTATAGGCACGTTTCACTCCATTTATGCGTGCACGTGTACATTCAACAAATATATATATTGAGTCCCTGCTTTGTGCAAGGCTAGGTCTTGGAGATGCAGCAGTGAAAAAGACTGGCAAAATCCCTGCCCTATCCTGCTTCTGAAATGGAATATAAGAAAATCCTTGTTATTCCCCCTTATTTTGTTCTACATACTGCTAAGGTTTTGGCTTTCCAACTTCTGGCTTTTTCATTGGTTTAGAGTTGTGGTCTCCCCTTGCCTACTCAGTTTTATCCCCTTCTGCTGTCTCTTCCCATTCTAGTCTAGTTATCCAGCATCCTCACTCCTGAATTCACAAAGCAGATTCCTGAATACTTTCTTCCTTGTCGGAGTTCCAACTAGTGAAATCCTATTTTCTCAAGGACTTTTCCTGCAGATTCACATTTCTTTCCCTTATCAAGTTTCCTATTGTGCTATACTGCAAAATTTAGTCTCTTATTATATGTGGTCTTATTCTTTAACTTTTTTTAAACTTTATTTTATTTTTATTTACTTATTTTTGGCTGCGTTGGGTCTTCGTTGCTGCGCACGGGCTTTCTCTATTTGCGGTGCATGGGCTTTCTCTAGTTGTAGCTAATGGGGGCTACTCTTCGTTGCGGTGCGTGGGCTTCTCGTGGTGGTGGCTTCTCCTGTTGCGGAGCACAGGCTCTAGGCACGTGGGCTTCAGTAGTTGTGGCACACGGCCCCGGTAGTTCTGTCCTGCGGGCTCTAGAGCGCAGGCTCAGTAGTTGTGACGCATGGGCTTAGTTGCTCTGTGGCATGTGGGATCTTCCCGGACCGGGACACAAACCCGTGTCCCCTGCATCGGCAGGCGGTCTCTCAACCACTGCGCCACCAGGGAAGCCCAATCTGCTAATTTTTTGCTCTTGAACCTAAGCTCAGAAATGTGACTTCTGAAGGTCACCCTAACCCTGGTGTCCCACCCAGGGTTCCCAGGTAGTGCTCTGTTTTGCTGGGCAAGTTCTGATGCAAGCAGGTAGAATAATTTGTTTTGTAGGATAATTTTGAATGGTTCTTAATACAGACTGATCTGAATCTTGTCCTTCACTAGGCAACAAGCTCTGTAGAACTCTATTTACCTCCTACATATTTTTTAGTTTGAAAAATGTTTTGGGGTATAGATCTGGTTGTCTTTCATTTAGGTCAAAGCAGAATGGAGTGAGAAGGTGAAATGACATAAGTCTCTGTTATTTCATTTATTATTTAAGAATAAGAGCTACCATAAACTGAGCCCTTAGTTTATGCAAAGCCCCATGATTTGTGTTATGTACATTACCTTATTTAATACTCATAGCAACCTGCTGATTATTCCCATTTATAGAAGGAGAGACCGAAGCTCAAGGAGGGAAAGTAACTTTCCTAAGATTATACAACTAAAAAGTGTTAAGGAAGATAGTGAAGGCTCTTGAACACTATGCCACATAGGTTACTCTTAATTTTGCATGAAGTCTTGCATTGGAAAGGTGGTAAGTGAATGGAAGGTAGTTAATTCAGTGCTACTTATTGGACGTGGTGCAAATCCGGATGTGGCATTTGAAAGTTTGTGTGGGTGTTTTGGTCGGCATAATGATTGGGGTAACACTGCTGCCATTTACTGGGCAGGGGTCAAGGATGTTAGCCATCCTGCAGTGTGTAGTACCTGACTCTGCTTTGCATAAAAGCATCGGCTTCATGGATTTAATATACACTGAATTTTCCAGGAATACAATAAATGAGGCAAGATTGTATTTTTTAAAAAAAATTTGTACTTTACCAAAGAGCGCTTACCAATTTGGGAAATTATGTCGCCAGTGGCATTACTGCCTTCTCTTAGAGGTACTAGTGCAACACACCGGTGTTACTTTGCCTTTGTAGCTGTTGCAGACACGTAATCCTTTTTTTTGGTTTGTTTTTTAAATTTATTTATTTATTTTTGGCTGCGTTGGGTCTTCATTGCTGCTCACGGGCTTCTCATTGCGGTGGCTTCTCTTGTTGCAGAGCACGGGCTCTAGGTGCGCAGGCTTCAGTAGTTGTGGCTTGCGGGCTCTAGAGCACAGGCTCAGTAGTTGTGGCCCCCAGGCTTAGTTGCTCCACGGCATGTGGCATCTTCCCAGACCAGGGCTCGAACCCGTGTCCCCTGCATTGGCAGGCGGATTCTTAACCACTGTGCCACCAGGGAAGCCCCAGACACGTAATTCTGTGTTTAGGTATGAGTAAAGACTGGTATTAAAACATTTAAATGCTTGGAGAATATCTTGGTTCTGCTACTCTGAGCTTCCCAGCCTCCTAGTATCCCCCTTTTCCTGCAGGATCATTCCCTGTGTCCGACCTCCCTACAGTCAGCAAGGAAAGAGTTAATGACTGTTGCATGGGGGCTTCAGGAGCCTTCTCCAGCTCTACAGATTGTGCCCATGGCTGTGTTGGTGCCTGTGTCAGTGATTATCTCCCTGGGTTAAAAATATCTCTATTTCATAATGCCATCTACTTATGGTGAAATATTTACATACAGAAAATAGATATTTTATTAGAATTACTTTTAGTTCTCCTTTGCATCACAATGAGGACATGTATTGTAGGACATGTTTTGATAAAAGTTATGTGACTAGTAGGTTATGTAATTAATGAATTTCATTTAAAAATAGAAAACAGGTGTTCAAACTATTCAGTAAAAGAAAGGGGACATTGAATCTGAGAGTTGAGAACTACTGTGTAATCAGGCTCCACTAGGTTTTTGTCCTTTGTCCTTCAAATTGAAATCGTTTTGCTATTCTAAATGAAAGGTACACCTGGCCTCATCTCAGCAGTAGAAATGAAAACATCAGTAATTTATGTTCAGTTTTTGGTGAAGTTACCATATCTGAATAGTGTGTCCCATATTTCATTGATTCATGTGACTCGTTTCACCTAAGAATTTTGATAAACTGGTTTAGCTAATTCTTTTACCGCGGCATAGGGATCTTATCTCACAGTTCATTTTTCATTCTTCCAATAGACTTTATGCAGTGTCAACACTGGCATGTGACTTAATTATTTGACAGTGCAAAACAAAATTATTTTTTTCTGTTGAATCGGGTTTTGGGTCCTTGCTGTAGATTAATATCATGATAACGTTTTGATATCATCAATCCAGCTATAATAAATGGAGATTTATTATATTGACGAATCAGATTTTGAGTCACATGAACATTTATCCATTAAATTTATTTTTATTTTTGAAAGGAAATTCCTTCTCCCTGTACTAAATTTATTACTTTCTTTCCAGAAATGTCTAATGCAAAAGAAAGGAAACATGCTAAGAAAATGAGAAACCAGCCCACCAATGTGACTTTATCCTCTGGCTTTGTGGCTGACAGTGGTGTAAAGTACCATAATGGAGGTAGAAAACCTTTCCAGTCTCAAAAAGGTAAGGTAAACATGGTGCTCTCTACACATGCTTGTATTTGGATTGCTTTTGTCAGCTCCTTTTGATAGTCATAATCTAAATGATAAAGGAGTTGAGTTAAAAATAGATACAGTTGACCCTCATTATTTGCAAGTTTTGTATTTGCAAATTCACCTAGTTGCTAAATTTGTAACCCCAAACTCAATACTCATGGCACTTTGATGGTCATTCGCGGACGTGCAAAGAGTGGGGAAGATTTTGAGTCACCTGATGTGGGTATTCCCAGTGGAGGTTCCCAGTGCCTTCCTGCTTCAGCTTCATACAGAGATGACCAGAGGAAGGCGACTGGTGGGACAGGGCAGTATAGTGCAAGAAGCTCCAGTTCTCACCGGGGTTTGAATTCCGATTGTGGGGCAGCCTCAGGCAGGTCACTTAACACTTCTGAACCTCATTTTCTCTTTGTAAAAGAAAGGAAATAGAATCTACGAGGATGAGTTGTTCTTACGATTTAAGATCATCATCTCTGTGAGATGTATATATACATACATACATAGATACATACTTGTTTTCTCTAGGAGCAGTGGTTCAGTGTTCACTAGTTCAGTGTTGGCTGTGACTTTCTAGAACATAACTGCTGGGAATAATGAGAATTGGCTGTAGGTATTTTACAGCTGATATATTTTATCTGTACCTTAACAGTTATTATTATTATTATTATTATTATTATTATTATTATTATTATTAATTTTTGCGGTACACGGGCCTCTCACTGTTGTGGTCTCTCCTGTTGCGGAGCACAGGCTCCGGACACGCAGGCTCAGCAGCCATGGCTCACGGGCCCAGCCGCTCCGCGGCACGTGGGATCCTCCCGGACCGGGGCACAAAGCCATGTCCCCTGCATCGGCAGGCAGACTCTCAACCACTGCGCCACCAGGGAAGCCCAACAGTTATTATTAAATGACACTTCTATATTTCCTAAAAGAAATGCAGTGCATTCATCATATCTGCGTTTAACTTGTGTGCTGATTTTAGAACCTTATAAAGTGATATGAAGGGGATAGCTGTTCATCAGGCAGCAACAGAAAATTGATTCAGATCCAACATTCATGCCCACTGTGCCAGGTGAGAAGCCATAGCACACATTATCTCATTTAAACCTCACAATGACAGACCTTGCAACATGTTTCATGATTATAGGGGCTTAATTATCACTGCCATGGAAATAAACAGGAAGGCTGTAAAATTCTCTACTGATCTTTCCTTGTATTCATAGAGATATTGTGTTAATGTCAGAATGGTTTGAATGCCTAGACATTTGTATAGAGACTCTGCTTTTATTTCTTTCTTAGCATAGTGGCTCTCAACTTGAGTGTGCCAGAGAATTATGATGAAAGACTGCATATGCAAAATCATGTGGATTATAGTATTTAAGGGAGCTTAGGTGTAAAAGCCACATTGCACTATTTATATGGAGAAAAGTTCCCTCGTATCTGTTATACCCAAGGTTCTTTCATGGGTCACACTGACATGATTAGCTAGTGTGCTGCCTCCTAGCTATGTGACCTTGGGCAAGTCAACTCACCTCCCTGCCTGAGATCCCTCCTACTTAAGGGGAGGATAGTAATAGCCACTTACAGGGTGGTTGCAGGATTAAAAACCTGATCAGTTTTCACCCAACACTCTAATCCTTATCTCTGATAAAAGTGACGTTTTTTCTTTTTGTTTTCTTTTTTGAAAATGTACTAGAGCCTCATTCTGGAACTTCACGACAGCGGCAAACCAAAACAAGCCACCATTCACTGGCTGAGTCTGATGCGAAGGAGCAGTCTTCCTCCAGGGTAACCTTTAAAAAAAAGGGAGGATGGAAAGCAGGTCCCGAGGGCACTTCTCAGGAGATTCCCAAGTATATAACCGGTAGGTATTTGCACAGAAGCCAAGTTTGATTGTACCAGGAGCTCTGTTTCTCCTGCAGCCAGATTTCTAGTGCCTTCTCTCTGCCCGGGCCTTGGCCCCACCTCCCCGTCTCTCTCCTCCCTTCTGTCCACATGGGCGTGTCTCACCTCCAGCCTGGACTCAGACCAGCGCTTCTGGGCCTGCTAGCTCTCCCTCCTTCGGGCTCCTTCCTCTCTCTTACTGTCTTCTTAGAGGTTCTGATTTGTGAACTGTTCCTTTTTGTCTTAAAGTCATCTTTGTCACCCCCTCTCCCCTTTTTAAAAAGTATAAAACGCCATCCACACTCCTCAGCACAGCATCTCGAAAGATAAAACCCAATTTAACGCACTCTGAGGGCAACCAAGACCTGTAAGTACCTGTCTCCAGGCCCTTTCCAGTCTCATTTCCCAATACCCCCCTTCACTGTCACCCCTCACTACCTGGTAACCCTGTATTCCTTGTACACACCTTAAGCATGCCTTCTGGTGTTTCTTTATGCCTTCCTGGAAGCATTCACTTAAATTTCTCCAGTGCTCTGTTTATTATTCAGAAAAAATAGTCTATTTTTCAATAAAGAAAACTAAAAATAGTTATGGTCACATATTTGTAAAAAAACAGGAAATATTAAGGAAGAAAACCTCTGGGGTCAAAATCATTTAAAATTTTGTTTTTTCTTTGTTTTCTTGTGGAATTATTACACTTAAGAATGGTTGTGGGCTTCCCTGGTGGTGCAGTGGTTGGGAGTCCGCCTGCCGATGCAGGGGACGTGGGTTCGTGCCCCGGTGTGGGAGGATCCCACATGCCGCGGAGCGGCTGGGCCTGTGGGCCATGGCCGCTGGGCCTGCGCATCCAGAGCCTGTGCTCCGCAACGGGAGAGGCCACAGCAGTGAGAGGCCTGCGTACCGCAAAAAAAAAAAAAAAAAGAAGAAGAAAAAAAAGAAAAAAAAAAAGAATGGTTGTGATTATATTGCATGTAGCTTTCTGTTTTTTTAAATAAATTTATTTATTTTATTTATTTATTTTTGGCTGCATTGGGACTTCGTTGCTGCACGCGGGCTTTCTCTAGTTGCAGTGAGCGGGGGCTACTCTTCGTTGCTTCTCACTGCGGTGGCTTCTCTTGTTGCGGAGCACGGGCTCTAGGCATGTGAGCTTCAGTAGCTGTGGCACATGGGCTCAGTAGTTGTGGTGCACAGGCTCAGTAGTTGTGGTGCATGGGCTTAGTTGCTCCACAGCATGTGCGATCTTCCTGGACCAGGGCTCAAACCTGTGTCCCCTGCATTGGCAGGTGGATTCTTAACCACTGTGCCAGCAGGGAAGCCCAGCTCTCTGTTTTAAAAAAACTCTTTTTTACCTTATTTTTTATATTTTTATTTTTTTGCGGTACGCGGGCCCCTCACCGCTATGGCCCCTCCCGCTGCGGAGCACAGGCTCCGGATGCGCAGGCTCCGCAGCATGTGGGATCCTCCCGGACCGGGGCACGAACCCGCATCCTCCGCATTGGCAGGCGGACTCCCAACCACTGTGCCACCAGGGAAGCCCTTTACCTTATTTTTTAACTAAATTTTTTCTGATTAGAAAAGTAAAACCGAATCCTTAGTTTCACAATCATGTAACAGAAATAACTACTATTGGTGTTAATCTGTTAGGAGTTAGGGTAGTGGGTGAATTGTAAGCTCATGTGCTTCAAATCTGTTTTCCTTCTGAAACCTACCAGGAGAAGTGTCAATTCAAGATGAGTTTTTAATGACGGTGGTGTTTTCTTCCACAGCTTCTACTTTTGCTCAAGCTCGAGCTGCTGAAATCAGTGCCATGTTGAAAGCAGTGGCCCAGAAATCTTCTAATTCACTGGTTTTCCAGACGCTGCCACGGCACATGAGACGAAGAGCCATGAGTCACAATGTCAAACGCCTTCCTCGACGGTTACAGGAGATTGCCCAGAAAGAGGTATAAGTGTCCCTTAATGTAAATGTTTAGGTTAGTGGTTCTTAAAGGAAGTTGAGAAGTATTAACAGAATTTATTAAAATGAATACTAAAAACATGCTCATTTTGCATATTTTTTGGTTTAATCATTATCTTCCCCACCTCCACCCCCCTCCAAAATTAGCAGGCTGTTGGATATTACAGCTACTTTTAAATACAGCATTTGGAAACTCTCTCTCTTTATGATGTTAAACCATTGATGTTCCCCTGCCAGATTTAAAATGAAAATTTGACCTTCTTACCAGATAAGTAATTTTAGCTCTGCACTTTGGGGGTGTGACCAGTTGAGAGTTGGAAGGTTAAAAAAGGCAGCATCAATGCCTAGTATTTGCCTTTTGTCTTTTTTTAATGTTGAAAACTTGAACTTGGATTTAATTTTTTGTTCAAGTCCAGTTGTTTTTGGCTTTACCAAAATTCTTGGCTTGGACATTCTATGATTGTCTAACCACCCTATGTCTTTACTAATTGATTCAAAATTTCTTTATCGAGTGCCTTCTGTGTACTGGTACTATGCTGGTGGTGAGGTTAGGGTCCATTAAGGTAAAGTCTTTATTCTTAAGGGGCCCACAAACTAATGGAAAAGTTTTTCCCACAAAAGTTTAGCTTAGCTATGGAAGAAGTGAAGAATGAAAACTAAACAGGAATTTTGTTCTCTCTAGATTTAATGTGAAGTCTGTTTCCTAGTGATAGCATTTAGCATTTGTCTGTCAGTACCTAAGTGATATGAAATGTGCAGGTTTTCCCCACTTTTATATCTTTGGTCCTAAGTTTTGGGTTTAGTTATATTCTTAGATGTTAAAAAACAATGAAAAAAATCAACACAAAGCTAGCATTTGATTTATTCTTTCTTGCTTTCTAATATTAATAGCCACAAACAAGTTTGAGTTACTGTGTTGAACATTTTATAGATATTCTAATCTTCCCAGTCCCCGAAGCTTGCCCAGTTAGTAAGTGATAGAACTGTGTTTCCTTCCTAGGTTTACCTTTTTCTAAAATCTTCACTCTTTCTGTTGCCTCCTCTACTTTCATTGGAGAAATCACCAAGTTAAAAAATTAAGCAAACTAATGGAGTCTGTAAGGGACTCCACTTCACCTAAAATTAGCTGTTTGATTTCCTAACATTTAACTTTGTTTTGAGATGGTTACAAACTAGGATCTGCCTGTCTTCTTGAAACTATAGGCAGAGAAAGCAGTTCATCAGAAAAAAGAACACTCAAAAAATAAGTGCCATAAAGCTCGACGATGTCACATAAACCGGATGCTAGAATTTAACCGGAGACAAAAGAAGAACAAATGGCTAGAAACTCACATCTGGCACGCGAAGCGGTTTCACATGGTCAAGAGGTGGGGCTACTGCCTGGGGGAGAGGCCGACAGTCAAGAGCCACAGAGCCTGCTATCGAGCCATGACGAGCCGCTGCCTCCTTCAGGTATGCTTTTCCGATTGCTTTCCCCTTTATTTTCGTTTAGACCCTTTCTGATTTAGACTTTTAGACTAGTTCATGGTATGCCAAAGCCCTATCTAAGATTATTCATTTTGAAAATAATTACTGGGCAAGAGGCATTTTGCCAGATGCTGGAGATGAAGCAGCCTAAAGTTATTGGGGCACACTGACATTAATCAAATAATTAGCCAAATATACAATTGTAAGGGAATACTATACAATACCGTGACCATTTGTAACAGGAATAGGAGTGCTTCCCCATGGAAGTGATGCTTGAGCTGAGCTCTAAGGGATAAGGAAATGGCGGAGTGGGTGAAGGCAGAGGCAGCCAGATAGGAAGGAAGGATTGAAATAAATTCATTGTGACAAAGATGAAGAGAGTGAGAGCAGGGCTAACATAGGGCGAGATTAGTTCTGGAGAATAAGTAGGAACCAGATCCTGCAGGGTCTTGTCGGTCATGCTCGGGATTCATTCAGCAGTCATTCACCACCACAGATATTTGAGACCCATCTATGCTGGGAAGTTTGTTTTAAGCTCTTTAAGAGGACAGTGGTTTTAGAGCTGCATAATAGTATTTATTTGGCTGTCCTGTCTTCTCCTGCGCCTCCCCCCACCCCACCCCGCCCCCGGTCAGTTGCTAATTCAGTAGCTTTCTCTCTCTTCCAGTACATGTTTAGAAATTTGTTCTTTGCAGAGGGCCTATCTTTCAATGGCAGGATGGCCTTGGCCAACTTTTGAAAGCCGTTAGTATTAGCATCCTCTGCTACCTCTTGAGAGCAATGTAGCAGAATAATCAATACAAGAACCTTAAAAAAAATTGTGGTAAATTAGACATAACAACAGATTTGTCATTTTAACCATTTTTATGTATACAGTTCTGTGGCATTAAGTATATTCACATTGTTGTGTAACTGTCATCACCATCCGTCTCTAGAGCTTTTTCATCTCCGAGACCAAAGTCCTGCATCCATTAAACACTAACTCCCCATTCTTCTCTCCACCAGTCACTGTCAACCACCATTCTACTTTTCATCTTTATGAATCTGACTACTCTAGGTACCTCGTATAAGCAGACTCATACAGTAAGCCAGCTCCTTCTGAGACTGGCTTATTTCACTTAGCATGATGTCTTCAAGATTAATCCATGTTGTATCATTCGTCAGTTTCCCTCATTTTTTTTTTTTTTTTTAAATTATATTTATTTATTTATTTATTTTTGGCTGCATTGGGTCTTCCTTGCTGCACACGGGCTTTCTCTAGTTGTGGTGAGCGGGGGCCACTGTTTGTTGCGGTGCGCAGGCTTCTCATTGTGGTGGCTTCTCTTGTTGTGGAGCACGGGCTCTAGGCGCCCGGGCTTCAGTAGTTGTGGCACGTGGGCTCAGTAGTTGTGGCTCGCAGACTCTAGAGCGCAGGCTCAGTAGTTGTGGCACATGGGCTTAGTTGCTCTGTGGCATGTGGAATCTTCCCGGACCAGGCTCGAACCCGTGTCCCCTGCACTGGCAGTTGGATTCTTAACCAGTGTGCCACCAGGGAAGTCCTCCCTCATTTTTAAGGCAGAATAATATTTCACTGTATGTATGTAACCACATTTTGTTTATTCATTCATCTGTCAACGGTCACTTGAGCTGCTTCTACCATTTGGCTCTTGTGAATAATGCTGCTCCGAACATGGGTGTACAGATATCTCTTCAGTTCCTTGCTTTCAGTTCTTTTGGGTATATACCCGGGAGAGGAATTGCTGGGTTATGTAGTAGATCTCTGTTTAATTGTTTTGAGGAACCATCATGCTTTTTTCCCATAAAGGCTACACTATTTTACATTCCCATTAGCAGTGCACAAGGGCTTCAGTTTCTCCATGTCCTACCAACACATGTTGTTTTCTGTTTTTTTGGTAATTGCCATCCTAATGGGTGTAAAGTAAATACAAGAACCTTATAAGAGCCTTTGATTTGAAGACTCAGCAGCAGAAATCATGGATTATAGTCAAATTCTTCATTTTGACTGTTGAGGAGCCTGGGATCCAGAGAGATGAAGTGACTTGCCTAGGGCTGCACAGCTTGTTGGTGGCCTACATAGCAAGACAGGCCCTCTCCAGTGCTACGTCGGGAGCTGATTCCCCTGGCCTTTGCTTTTTCCACTGTACTCTGTCATTTCTCAAATTTTAAGGCAGACATATAGTTACTTCTCATTTTGGACAGAATTGTTGCTGAGGTTATCAGGTATTTTCTTTACATTTGATTAGTCCTAAGTAATAAAAATAATAGCTAGTAATAACAAATATTTTTGAGTACTTAATTTATGTCTGTTTTAGTACTTTACATGTGTTTACTCACTTAATCCTTACAACAACAGTATGGAGTAAGTTTTACCACTGTTTCCATTTTACAAATGAGAAAACTGAGACGTTGGGCAGTTTATCCCCAGCCATACAACTAATGAGTGGTGAAGTTGGGATTTGAGCCCAGGTAGTCTGGTTCCAGAGTTCCACGCTCTTAACTATTATTCTCTGCTGTCACCCAGTTGTACACACTCTGGTGGGGTTCCTCTGCCACTGACAGCTGAGAGTGGATCGCTATTGCCGGGAAGATTTCTGTGTGTGAGTGATAGCATTGATTAATGTGAGTTTGTCAGAGCCTTACCTATGACTTTAGTTTCAGTTGCTGCGTGTACTGAAATTGCTTAAAGGAGCTGTGGCGGAGGGGTTGGTTTGGGGGTCAGTGAGCCTGACTTGAACGCTAGCTTCTCCACTTACTGATGATATGGCTCTGTTCAAGTAACAGTCTCTGTCTCAGTGTCCTCATCTGTCAAATAAGATTACGATAGTACCTGGTTTCATCAGGTCTTGGGAAGATTAAATGGCAGTCCATGTAAGGAGTTAGCCCATTGCTGGCACTTAAGTAACTTTTCAGTATCCATTAACCATTATTATAGTTCTTTAATGTAATTGATTTTATTAGCTCAGTCTGAGCTCTCTTCATCTTCTTTAAATTGGTGTGGCCTTACCCCGATTGCTCTCAGTTTTCCTTGTGCATTGCTTAGTCAAATTTGGTTACCATGGTCAAGACTGAGCAGTGGAGAAATGTGGCGTAAACTGCCACGTGTGTCTTTAGGCTCAGTGTTTAGTAATCCTGAGGTCCTGAATTAGGTAACCAAAGTGAGCAACCTTAACATAATATTGCTGGATTTATTACTGTCTTGCTTATTCTACTCTGATTTTGTTTACTTTAGTTAGGTTTTGGAGAGGGATAATCCCGTTACTTAGAGGCAGTAGTTTTTACAGCCTACTTCGAACTTATCTGTGAATATGGGATAAAACACATATTTTCTTTCTAAAAAGTAGGACACTGCCGCTTACATTTTCAATGGAAATTCAAGGTTTTGATTGTATCTCCCTCTGTTTGCAGGATTTATCCTACTACTGTTGTTTGGAGTTGAAGGGCAAAGAGGAAGAAATACTGAAGGCACTTTCTCCAATGTGTAGCATAGACACAGGTAAACTTGTTTCAGAGCTGAGTCCCATTTTATTTTATTCTATTTTTTATAAATTTATTTATTTTTATTTATTTTATTTTTGGCTGCGTTGGGTCTTCGTTGCTGTGTGCGGGCTTTCTCTAGTTGCGGCGAGCGGGGCCTACTCTGCCTTGCAGTGCGCAGGCTTTCCATTGCGGTGGCTTCTCTTGTTGAGGAGCACAGGCTCTAGGTGCGCGGGCTTCAGTAGTTGTGGCACATGGGCTCACTAGTTGGGGCTCTCGGGCTCTAGAGCGCAGGCTCAGTAGTTTTGGCGTATGGGCTTAGTTGCTCCGTGGCATGTGAGATCTTCCCGGACCAGGGCTCGAACCCGTGTCCCCTGCATTGGCAGGCGGATTCTTAACCACTGCGCCACCAGGGAAGCCCAGAGTCCTATTTTAGTCTCTGTATATGTATTCATTTCATGAACAAGTGTCTGCTGTAAGCATTTTGGAATTTAAACATGCTTTACTGAGACAGTTCATGTTACCAATGACTATGTTCATATAAGGAAAACTTGGGGTGGCTTTTAAGCCATTTCAAATATTGTTGAGTGTAAAGTGAGAAAACCATTATTCTGGTGGAGTGAATTTAGGCAGGAGGAAACTCAAAGCTCATTAAATCATTTACTCAAATATTTATTGAGAACTTCTTGGGTGGTTTTGATCACTTCTTTATCTAAGCAGTGATCAAAACCAACACCTCATCCATCATGGAGATAGACAATAAATAACAGTATGGCTATCAGGAACTAATAATGCAGTCTCAGCACTTGAAATCTTAGAATTTTGCTTTTGTTTGTCAGGATTGACTTTTGCAGCAGTTCACTGTTTGTCTGGAAAGCGCCAAGGTAGTCTCATGCTTTACCGGGCAAATAAATACCCTAGAGAAATGCTGGGTCCTGTGACATTTATTTGGAAGGCTGAGAGGACCCCTGGTGACACTTCTGAGAGCAGGCAGTTGTGGATCTGGCTTCATCCAAGTCTTAAACAGGTATAATCCTTGACAGTATTTCCTCATCCCTCTGTTACTGTATTCTTGATTACTGTTGGAAATCAGTGCTATAGAAATTTGAATAGTCTAAAAGTTTGATTGATAGCTTGGTATTTGAATATAGGGAGGATAGTTATGTGAATATTAAGTGGAGCAAATCTTGACCTGACTTTTAGTAAGCCCTAAGTAGAAGGAGAGATGAAAACCAATCTTATTACGCAAAGGGCTTGAAATGGTGCACTGGGACTAATGCTTCCATCAGCCTGAATTGGCTCATTGGTATTCAGGTGCTTGTGAGAGCCTGTTTGATGATGAGAATCTGTTTTGAGTAATTCTGATGATTTTTTAATACTGCATTTAGCTTAGCTTTCCTTTTTTATCATACTCACTGCTTTTATACAGTAGACTGTAAATTTTCTCCAAATTCCTCTTTAAACTAGTTTTAAAAAAAACTGGTCAGAGTATTCATGTTGTTTTCATTAATCTTTGACATTTCAGAGTTCTTTTTTTGTTCTAAGTGCAGAGGAATCAAAAAACCTTTTTGATGATGATAAATATAGTTTAATTTGTGAATAATAAAAATGTACATTTTTAAAGGTAGAAAAAATAACATAAACTAAACCAACTTAAATTCGAAACGTATTTAAATTCCAGAGTTTAAAAGTAAAATGTTTAAACATATCCTTAGGATATCTTAGAGGAAATAAAAGCAGTGTGCCAGTGTATGGAACCCACCAAGTCGACTGTCTGCCTCCCTGATCCCCTTCTGACACCATCCCAAGAAAAAAGCCAAACTGACCTGCCCACAGAGAAAATTGGCAAGAAAAGAAAATGGAAAGATGATGAGGAAAATGCTAAACCAATTAAAAAAGTCATTGGTGATGGAACTAGAGATCCACTTCAACCGTATTCTTGGATCTCTCCAACCACAGGCATTGTAATCAGGTATGGGTTGAATTTGCTCTGAACCTACTGACCATTTTCAGTGAAGGTGTGCTCTGTTTTTGCCGGTGAAACAGACATCATATATGATGGAAGTTTCCATTTTAAGACCTTTTCTTTCTTTCAGTGATTTGACGATGGAGATGAACAGATTCCGGCTGATTGGTCCACTTTCCCACTCCATCCTAACTGAAGCACTCAAAGCTGCTTCTGTCCACACTGTGAGAATAAACGTGCTTGTAATGTTTTATTCTGGTCACCTCCTTCTTAGCAAATTTGTGAAACTGAACGTAATTTGGTAACATTTTGGGCCATGGCTTATAAATGTTTGTTTCCCTACTTATGCTTATTATCAAAGACTTTTATCTTTCACTTTTCCTAGAAGAGCAAATCTAAGTGAATGTAATAAGTAAACTGACTTGTTCTTATTTAAATACAGACTGCTCCTGCAGCTTCTGAGTCTTGTAGACGGTTCTTAACTTCTCCATAGGCAGCTAACAGGGAGCCCCTAAAATCCTGGAAAGTATATGCAATTTTTTTTTGTTTGTACTTGTGTGATGCATATTTTCTGGGGCTAGTTTTAAGGGTGATGTCTAACAGGTTGAGAACAGTGTGTTGAGTGCATCTCTGTCCAATAGAACGTTCTGCGAGGGTGATGTTTCTTTGTGCCGTCCATTACGGAGCCACCAGCCACATGTAGCTACCGAGTTGCTAGCGTGACTGAGGAAGTGAATTGGTTCCTTTATTTAATTTTAATTAACTAACAGTTAAATTCAAACTGTTCTCTGTGGCTAGTGGCTGCCATGTTGACAGTGCAGGTCTGGAGAGTAGAGACTAGATTAGGAATCAGACACTTTGGGTTCAGATTCGGTTTGTTTTTCTGTGTTTGTGCAATTAACCTCTCAGCGCCTGTGCCTCTTGCAGATTGGACACGTTGAATACGGTGATAGATCTGAACAGAGTTTGAGCTGTTAGAAGACAGATACTTAAAAAAAAAAAAAAAGACGACTTCTCTCTCCCTCCTCCGTATTTCCGCAGTAGTCTCAACCACTGTTGTGTCTTTCCTGGATCCTGAAGCAGCTTCTTAACTTTCCTTCATTGCTCTCACTTTTCACTCTATTCTCCACGTAGGAGGCAAAGGGATATTTGACTTCCTGATTAAAAGCTTTTGGATATAGCTTCTCATTGTATTTGAGATAAATTCCAAAGCCCTTAATTTGACTGGTAATCTTACACCTTCATGTCTGTCTGGCCTCATCTCTCCTCGCCTTTGGCACTTCAGCCACCCTGGCCTTCTTCCAGTTCTAGAATATGTCAGGTCTCACCTCCCTTAGAGCCCGTCTGAATGTCCCACCTCTATCGCTCTTCTTGGCTAAGCCTTCCTCATTCTTTTAATTTTCAGCATCTATATCATTTTCCTCTAGAATCGTTTTCTGATCCCCTAAGTCAAATTATATCCCTCCTGTTGTCTTCATCCCATCTTGCACATTTCCTCTATTTACGTCTAGATTTGTTTGCATATTTGTTCGATGTTCGTGTCTCCTGAGAGTCTGAGCTTCGTCATGGCGAGGACGGAGCAGTCCCATTCTTTACCCTGTCCCCTGGGCTTAGCACAGTGCCTGGTGCAGAGTTGTTACTCCATGCTAGCTCATAAGTTGCAGAGGGAGGATTTGAACCTAGGGAGTTTGGTTCCAGGGCCTGTACTTTGAACCACTAGTTTGTGCCACCTGAGTTTGTGTGAGGTAATGGGCGCATGTATTACAGGTTAGAATCTGTAGGGGCACATCCTACTTCAGTGAACTTTGGTATGAATCATGGCTGTAGGTTCTCTTCCTGGGCATGCTTATGGTACTTGAAGTGCTGTTTGAAACCTTTCCCAATTCCTAGTTCTGTTCAGAAGAAAGGCAAGTAAAATACTTGTGTAACTTCCTTGAAATTTCTAGAAATACTATGGTAGTAATAAATCCTTTTGCCAAAGATTTCTTTAAAAGGTATTGGTTTGGCTTTTCTTTGGTGAGGAAAATTTTATTGCCCCATTCTGTGGTGATGAAGTTGGTAGAGTGGCAGAAGGGCACGGCATCTCTTGTTGGCACTGTGCTACAGAGACCATAGGTGTGCAGTCAGTTAGGTAGGTAGGCTCTCAGAAAACCAGGAATGTTTTTCTTAGTTTGTGAAATCTTGAGAGAAGTATAGTCCTGTGTCCTTGTCTGTAATTAGAAGAATCATTAATCTGATGTGACAGTTTCCCTGGTCCCCCTCACAAAAGATTCATTCCCACAAACAGGGAAAAAAGGATGGGGCCAATAGCACAACCATTTTAACCAAAATTATTAAGTCTGATCCATTATTTGTCTGGTGAACAGGAGTTGTTGTTTTCCAGGAGGGAGAGGACACAGAGAAGACACCTCACTGTTGGTGGATTGAAACCTGCAGGAATCCTGATAGCGTTTCCCTTCATCACAGACAGGAAACCGTTTTTGAATTGTTGGGAGGTATAACGGGGAGACGGGGTTGTACTGGGGAAGAAGGGAAGAGTGGGAAATGGGTTAAAAGAGCATCTTGCAGCTGAGCTACCTAAATGTAGTCTGCTTTTTAACTTGTAACTGTTTGTTAAAATACAGCAAGAAAGCACAAATGAGGTGTTAGTATTCTAAATAATTGGCATTCCATTGCTATAGATAAATGCGTGTGCCAGCTACTAAACTAAAATCTTACTTACCTTCGCATGATTGCATTTGTGTGTGAGGCTCCTGTAGTTATTGATAGGAACATACATGCTCATGTCGTAAAATAACCTGTTATGTTAATTTAATGCTTTTTGTAAGAAACTTCACTCTTTATGAATGTTAATTTATTCTCTGAAAGTATCTTCGGGGAAAAAAAGGGGAATATGTGTCTTTACATAATTAGCCCAAGGTGAAAGTTTCATTAGAAAATTTGAAAATAAAAGCAAATATATATGTATTGGTGAATAACTTTCTGTTTGCTTTTTGTTTTGTTTTGTTTTTTGCTAAAGGAATAACATCACCAGCAGAAATTCCAGCAGGTACTATTCTGGGACTGACAGTTGGTGATCCACGAATAAATTTGCCTCAAAAGAGGTCCAAAGTTTTGCCCAATCCAGAAAAATGCCAAGGTAAAGTTCTTGAGACCACCTGGTTTTCCTTACTATTTAGAGCAGTCAGTCCCATTAGAAGAGTTCTGTCTGTGACACTTCTGCAGTAACTTTAGAAGAATTAGGGCAGTCTTTACCTGCCTGACTTTCAAGGTGATTATGATCAAAGGAGACCTGCCTAACTTTCAAGGTGGTTATGATCAAAGGAGATGTGTATGAGGAAGTATCTTTTAGCTGTAAACATGTAGCCTGATCATTATGTTCATTTTTTCCCCTGAGTTCTCTATTTTTAGTATCTAAGTAAAACCTGTCTCTGCAAACTTGGTTCTCTGAAAATGCCTGGCTTTTCAGAATTTTAATTGTGAGGAAGGGATCTGCACCCGCAGCTGGTCTTGTGCTCTTTGGAAGCCTCTGTCTGACCATACAGATGATCCAGGTTCGAATCCTGGCAAGGCCATCCCAGGTGCTGAAGGGTAAGATGTCTTGGTTTAGACTCAGTAGAGTGGCCTGCAGGAGCTCTTTGGGGTGACATGGTGGGGGATGGGTAGGGGCTGGCTAAAATTTTAGTCTAAAATTGCGATTTGCAGCAATTGTGATCATGTCTCGTATTTACTGTCATTTAAACACGGTTAATTGGAAGAATAATTAAAATCAGCTTATGAATTTTTGGAGAAAGGATACAGGTGTGTGTAGAAACAACTTCAGAATTTTTTTTTTTTACCTTCACATGTAGTTAGATAGCTGATTAAGGGGGCAATAAAGTACTCTGCCAGAACTTTACATGAAAGGTGGATTGGATGAGGGAGGAGTTTAAGATATATGGGTAAGTTAGTTAATTACAGAGCCTAACACTTTAATCAGTTCATTGTTGCCTCTCTCTTTTTTAATAGCAGTATGGTCTGGAACAACCATTAAAAGTTAACAGCGTCTACTACACCAATAAATGTTCACTGTCGTAATCATCTCAAAACCGTAGTTAAACTCTACTTAGTTTCTCTTGCTGCCTCAAACGCTTTTTTGGAATAAGGCAGTATTAAATTCTTCCTAAGGCTTTGGTCTTAATATAAATCAGTTCAAGGAAAATTAAAGTCTATCTTGAAAAACATGATTTCATTTCTACTATTAAAGCTTACCATCTTATGTCATTGTGTTTTTTAATAATCAAAGTATAATTGATTTACAATATTATATTAGTTTCAAGTGTATAGCATAGTGGTTCAGTATTTTTATACATTACCAAATGATCACCAAGATAAGTCTAGCTACCATCTGTCATCATACAAAGTTATTTCAATATCACTGACCATATTCCCCATGCTGTACATTACATCCCCGTGACTTACTTATTTTATAACCGAAGTTTGTATCTCTTAATCTCCCTCATCTATTTCACTCATCCCCCCCTACACGTCTCCCCTCTCACAACCTCCAGCTCATTCTCTGTATCTAGGACTCTGTTTCTGTTTTGTTATGTTTGTTCATTTGTTTTGTTTTTCAGATTCCTCATATTAGTGATATCATGTGCTATTTGTCTTTCTCTGAGTTATTTCACTTAGTGTAATATCCTCCAAGTCCATCCATGTTGCTGGAAATGGCAAAGTGTCATTCTTTTTACGTCTGAGTAGTATTCCATTGTATATATACCACATATTCTTTATCCATTCATCTGTTGATGGACACTTCCATACCTCGGCTGTTATAAACAATGTTGCAATGAACATAGGGGTGCATGTATCTTTTCGAATTAGTGTTTTCATTTTCTTTGGAAATATACCCAGAAGTGGAATTGCTGGATTGTATGGTAGTTCTATTTTTAGTTTTTTGAGGAACCTCTATTCTGTTTTCCACAGTGGCTGCACCAATTGACATTCCCACTAGCAGTGTATGAGGGTTCCCTTTTCTCCACATCCTCACCAGATCTGTGTCCCCAGGAGGACTCCCAATTGCCTTCTGCCTCTCTGGGAAACTCTCGAAGATCAGCAAGTGGCTCTTTTCAAATTACTGCCTCTGTGCTGGGACTTGGACCGTGTAGATTTTACGTGCACCCTTTAAGCGTGGAGTCTGTTTCCTGTAGCCCCTCCAGCTCTCCTGTTCTCAAGCTCAGCTGGCCTTCAAAGCCAGACGTTCTACAGGGTCATCCTGTCCATGCAGCACCCCCAGGCTGGGGTACCTGATGTGGAGCTTTTGGTCCCCCTGCTCCCTCGGGGAAACTCTGCAATTATGATTCTCTTCCCGTTTGTGGGTCGCCTACCCAGGGGTATGTGTCTTGACTCTACCATGTCTCCACCTCTCCTATCTGGTTCCTTCTTTATTATCTTTAGTCGTGGAGAGCCTGTTCTGCTAGTCTTCAAGACACTAGTCTTCAAGACGTTCTCATAGATAGCTGCTCTGTAAACAGTTGTAATTTTGGTGTGCCCGTGTGAGGAGGTACGTTCAGGGTCTTACTTCACCATCGTGGCCATCAATCTTACTGTATTTTATTAACACCTGTTTTAAGTAATTTCTTTGAAGAAGTATGGGCATGTGAGCTATATAAAAAAGTAAACTTTTTAAGGAGTTAGTATTACACAAATACTATTAACAAATGTAACATACCATCTGGGATGACAATTCAAAACTAATTTTAGAAATATACCTTGATGAGCTGGGTCAATTAATAAAAGATGAATCCTTAGAAGAATCTTAAGGTCATGATGGTCTTAATTCACTGACATAACTTCCAGTCTGTCTTTCCATATCTGAAGTCATTCTTTGTTTTGAAGGTCATGATGGTCTTAATTCTCTGACATAACTTCCAGTCTGTCTTTCCGTATCTGAAGTCATTCTTTGTTTTGACTTGGACAAAACAGATCAATTCTGGTGCTACTTAAACCATAGGAAGGGTTTGCCTGACTTGCATAACAAACAATTTATCTTCTTATGTGTGCTGGGAATTATAGAGAGCTTGGAAAAGAGAAGATACAGCAATGTGATACTGTAAAGTAATAAGAAATACATGTTTTGGTGTTTGTCCATGGTTCCTGGCACCTTGCTTCTAAAACTCTTGTAATTTCCTAAGTGACAAGAGCCTTAAAGGCTAAAAGGAGAGCCTTTTCTTATTCCTAACAAGCCCCTTTCAACCACACCTGAGTTTATGTTAATGAGGTGTCTTTTGGTAAAGCCCCTAAGGTTGGGGGCTGGTTGCCAGGGGAACCAACCAAAATGTTGGAACTTTCAGGCCCCACCCCTTCTCTCCCTGAGAAGGGGGAGGGGCTGGAGATTAAGCTTAATCGCTAATGGCCAATCAATCATACCTACCTGAAGAAACCTCCATAAAAATCCTAGAGTGGAGTTTGGAGAGCTTCCTGTTTGCTGAACCCTTGGAGGTGCTGGGTGGTGGGGTGCCCAGAGAGGGTATGGAAACTCCACACCCCTTTATCTTGCCCTGTGCATCTCTTGCATCTGGCTGTTTCAGAGTTGTATCCTTTTATTAAAAAATCACCCAGTAATGTAGTAAGTAAACTGTTTTCCTGAGTTCTGGGAGCCATTCTAGCAAACTATTGGACTTGGCCAATTTATAGCCAGTTGGTCAGGACTTAAAATTGGCATCTGAAGTGGGAGCTGTCTGTGGGACTGAGCCCTTAACCTGTGGGATCTGATGCTATCTCTAGGTAGGTAGCGTCAGGATTGAGTTAAATTGTAGGACACTCAGCTGGTGTCAGAGAATTGTTTGCTGTGGGAATAACACCCACACACTTGAGCGTCAGAAATGCTGAGAGTAGAATACAGAGATGGAAATGTTTTTCTCTTTCAGTGAAGACCCTGAAGTGATGACGCATATCCTCAGGTGCTTTGAAAAAGTTTACTTGATCATTTCTTTCTTTTTCTTTTAAAAATAAATTTATTTATTTTCATTTATTTATTTATTTATTTATGGCTGCGTTGGGTCTTTGTTGCTACACGTGGGCTTTCTCTAGTTGTGGCGAGCGGGGGGCTACTCTTCGTTGCAGTGTACGGGCTTCTCATTGCAGTGGCTTCTCTTGTTGTGGAGTACGGGCTCTAGGCGCCTGGGCTTCAGTAGTTGTGGCACGCGGGCTCAGTAGTTGTGGCTCGTGGGCTCTAGAGCACAGGCTCTGTAGTTGTGGCTCATGGGCTTAGTTGCTCCGTGGCATGTGGGCTCTTCCTGGACCAGGGATCAAACCCGTGGCCCCTGCATTGGCAGGCGGATTCTTAACCACTGCGCCACCGGGGAAGTCCTATCATTCATTTCTTGAGTTTGATAAATATTAACAATATGTTTTTGTGAATCTTTTCAACTTCATTAACACAGCATTTCACTGTGTAAAGAACTGGCTTTCTGGGTGAAATTTAAAAATACAAGTTCTACTGTACTATCTATTCTTTTAGTATTCGCTCTCGTTAACATCTGGTTTGCTTTGTTAGATTATTTTAACTAGTCTTTGTCTTCCAGAGATGAATTTGCTTTAGAAAATACTGACCTTACATTGTGCTCATGGGCTCTTTTTAGTTTTTCTCTTTATACCCTCTCTATTACCGTGTACCCCAAACTTGACTTTCTCAAGTTCCCAGTTATTGGTCATTATTGCCATGACTTCTCAGTTTCTGCTCTTGGGAGAAAAAATATCTGATAGCTTCAGCCGGGCCTTTTTAACTGTTCTGCAAATTTAATTTAAAATAGTGAATTTGAAGGCTGTAACTTTGGTTCATTTGAATCCCAAATGATTAAACCTTTTATTCATTTCCCTTGCTTCTCTAAGAAACACTTAAGAAAATTGTAAAATCTGGTAATCTTCAAATACATTTAAGAAAGGAGAAGATAAGCTATTCAACCTTTAAGTCACAATTCTGGAGTTATGTAGTCAATTAGCTTTGGTCCGAGATGAAAGAGAATGTGCTTTATGTGAGTCTTGGGGGAAGGACTTAGAATTACGCACGGAATTGACAGTCATTCTGGGCACACTGAGGGGCGTGCTGACTCAGCTGATAATGTTTTTTTCTCAGTAGTGAAGACTGTTGACTTAAAAGGCCTCCTTTGCCTTCAGACATACTCTGCTTTGTCATTATAGTATCACACAGAATAGTTTCACTATCCTAAGTCAGCTGTGCTCTCTCTTTTCATCCCTTTCTCACTGCTTCCAACCCCTGATCCTTCAACAGTCTCTATGGTTTTGCCTTTTCCAGAATGTCACATAGTTGGAATCATACAGTATGTAGCCTTTTCAGATTGGTTTCTTTCACATAGTAATATGCATTTAAGGTTCTTTCTTATCTTTTCATGGCTTGATAGCTCATTTCTTTTATTTATTTATTTATTTTTTTACATCTTTATTGGAGTATAATTGCTTTACAATGATGTGTTAGTTTCTGCTTTATAACAAAGTGACTCAATTATACATATACATATGTTCCCATATCTCTTCCCTCTTGCGTCTCCCTCCCTCCCACCCTTCCTATCCCACCCCTCTAGGTGGTCACAAAGCACCGAGCTGATCTTCCTGTGCTATGCGGCTGCTTCCCACTAGCTATCTATTTTACGTTTAGTAGTGTATATGTCCATGCCACTCTATCACTTTGTCCCAGCTTACGCTTCCCCCTCCCCGTATCCTCAAGTCCGTTCTCTCGTAGGTCTGTGTCTTTATTCCCGTCTTACCCCTAGATTCTTTTTTTTTTTTTTTTT